TCTTCAAGTTAGTTATGTGTAAAATGGGGATAATAAGTGGCTCCGCCTCACAGGTTTCTATGTGGTTTAAATGGGTTCATCCACACAAAGGCTTAGAACACCTGGCACGTGGTACATTCCCAGGAAGTATCAGCCGTCATTAGTGGCTAAACTTGCCATACTTCAGAGACAGCTGCTTGTTAAAAAAAAAAAAAAATCACACTACTAATTCAAAGTAATACTTTTTCATTCTAATATTAAGTGAAAAGGGATAAATCTTAGGCATAATCATATTCTTTAATTTACAAAAGTCTCAATAAAAATACTGGACACAATTCTTCCCATCTGGGCAGCAGAGTGAAATCATTTTTTTCATTAATACTAAATACAGTGCACTTGGACGATGATTTATATCTGACGACAACATTCTACTCTTGTCTGTTAAGATCTTCATGTATGCAATATTTAAAAATTCTATTTTCCCCTTTTATTTAACATTTTCTCTTTGAGTTAGAAATACAGTGAAATGTTTGAGAGAACAGCCTTTCTAGAAAACCTACTCCAATTTCCCTTCCAATTGAGATTTACAATACATGGTCATTCCTTCCTTTACAATATTTTTATTCTCTAACTGAGACTCCTGTTTCCACCCCCCATTCTCACCCCCGCATTAAGTATTAGCAGTTGGAGAAGTTGCCTGGCGTTTCATTAGAGAACCACAAATGAGGAATGGTGCTTTAGGACTCTCTAATAAACCCAATCCTGATTTCAGAGGCCTCAGAACAGTCAAAGTACAGCTTTGAGAACAGTGTTATTTTCATGTATTTTTTGTTTTGTTTTGAGACAGGGTGTTTCTGTTTCCCAGGCTGGAATGCAGTGGTGTCATCATAGCTCACCGTAGCCTCAAACTCCTAGGTTCAAGAGATATTCCTGCCCTGGCTTCCCAAAATGCTCGGATTACAGGTGTCCATCACCACACCTCCCAAAGTGCTCGGATTAGAGGTGTCCGCCACCACACCCAGCCTACATAATTTTAAATCTTCTAGTAGCCCACATTTTAAAAAAGAAGCTGGTAATATTAATTTTAAATGA